TTTAAAAAGTGCGCCACTTCCACAAAAATTGATTAAGAAGAAAAACCCTACGTACTTCCAAAGCCAATTGTATATAGATTATAAATGTTCTTTAGTATTTGTTCCATAACTCATAGACGCCGAGAAATCCGTCCTGCTGTGGCGGTGTTTTCAAAAGAGCTGTTTTCGACGATGAGCTCTGTCGCCGCCATTTTGTCAGAAAATGACAATAAAAAAATTGTTTTTCGTTCTTCAGTATGTGTTAAATAAACCCTCTGAAAAGACATTCTATTCCATTTGTCACACTCCCAAAATAAATTTTCAAATTTAGGTCTTTTTTTCTGCCTCTAGAGTGGTTTTATCCCTTAATAAATTTCTCGTCGAGAGGAATTCGTAACAACTCGTCGATTATTTCTGTTTCAAGTCCGAATGCAACAATGGTGTCCGATACGTTCGACGAATCTCCGCCACTTTCACCGCATAATTTAGCTTTTCTAATGGGTCACATAGAGGATGTTGGTGTGACATTTTTAGGAGATTCGAAAGTAGTGGCAACGTTCTGGAGCGATTCGAGCATACGCTCGCTAGGGATTTACCTCTACGACAAACTCAACCCAGCTGTCATTAACCTGATTGACGTGTTTCCGATACCTTACTCCCTGCCTAAGTTGGACCTAGTATGCTTGCCTCCGGGGATCGACGAGAGCGTAGCCAGACCTGGATTAATTGCGATCAAGTAAGAGTTACCATTGCTTTTTTTTTTACTTGAAAAACTCATGCATTCGTTTAAATATGGTCTATATTTAATTGGAATGAAATTTGAATTTGTAAATAAAGTTTATCGTAATAGCAACGAGTATAAGCATTCCATAAACTCTACAGGGTTGAATTGAGCTGTTCAATGCACAAATCGATTAACTCTGTAACACAAAAAATGTTGAGAAATGCGATGAAATAATGTAAATTGTTTTTTAAAATCCCCTTTTTGATATAAATTCCAATAAATATTAAAAGAAGGTCTTTGCCTTTCAGGAAAGGTATTATTAGACTGCGGATCTTTATGCAAAATAAAGTCTTCGCGAACGTGCCTACAAAAATTGACCCTAAATAGGAATTTATTTTATTCTGTAAATATTATAATATAAACTTTACTTTCAATCTTTTTTATATCCTTGCATATTGTTTGCATTTTGTAGTTTCTTGCACATTCAAATTATCTATAAATGCTTAAAGATCCGCAGTCTAGTTATTATAAATATAAAAAGTTATGACTGTAACAAGTGCTTTGACACTTAAATTTAAGATTTTTCAAAAAGTGGATTTAATCGATTGGGTGCAGTGAACGGTTCAATTGTTATATTTTAATCGAATGAAACTTAAATGTCTATTGTCACTATTTGTGATGGAAGTCCTCGATGATTTCATTTACATCGTTTGAATTTTTAAGGCAGTCAGCTTTCTATACCACCGAACGATCGCCACTGGTTACCAAAGAAAATGCTTTAAAGGTTCTAGTCGTTTTATTTGGGCAACAATTACTCGACGAATTCGTGAACGCGAATCGAACGGACGCGTGGATCTGCAAGGCTTCGCTGCTTTATTTTCACCACGAGGTTGTCCCAAAGGCAAGTGCATAAATTTACGTATAAGAGGATGATATTTCACACTGTCACGGTTCTAGTGTTTACAATTAATACCGTTTAAGGTTTTCGAGTGTAAGTTGTGTTTTTTCGAGAAGCCTTTGACAGCTAGGGTGAAAATGAAACGTTACAGGATCACCCAAGGATCGAATCTCCTCCATTCCACCCTCGCGAATTGAACGGACGTATCTTCTTTATTAGATAAAAATAACAAGTCGATTTCTTTTTAAAACTTTATGAAAGATTTTACGATTTAAAAGAGATTTCTTTTCCATTTTTATTCGACATAGAGCACATTTGTTTCTTACATACCTACAAATAACAGCTTATAAATTAGAAAATATATACGTTTATCGCTTACAAGAATTCATGTATAGGTACAAGAAGAATCAATATTTTTTATTATTTTGTGAAAGAATTTACGATTTAAAAGAGATATTTTTTTCATTTTTATTCGACATAGAGCACATTTGTTTTTTACAGACCTACAAACAACAGCTTCTAAATTCCAAACTTTCTATGTTTTTCAATCACAAAAGTTCATATGTATCATACATAAATCAACGAAAAAAGCATGATAAATTAAAATTCTCTGAATCCAATTCTTTAGAAGAAAAAAAAATCACAAATATTATTTACTTTCTGATCCAACAAAGGAAAAACCTCCCTTAAGAGTTTATTTATTGAGATCGATTAAATCTAAAGCTGCACGATATTATCTCGCAGTTATCCTCGAGATCACAGACTTTTAATTGAACTAACCGCGCATCCAACAAGACACGACTTACTCCTGGAGACGATCGAACAGTATCAAGTGTAAATTAATATTTTGAACCAATGGCAGCGTTGTAAATCGTTTTGATAAAATTCAATTTTCAGATAGATTCATCATTGAATTTGAGCAACTCCTTTGTTACCGACGTTCAATTGCAAGCTATGGAAAGCGACGGTTACAGCATTTCGAGGCCATTTCACGAAAATGTCAATTATCGACTTTTGCACTCTTTTAACGACGAATATGCGAAAGGTAAGACGATGATCTGGTTTACAAGGGATAATCGTCAACTTGGAAACTCGGAAAATTATTATACTTTGGGAAGATTAAGTTTTCTTATGAAATATTTACAGATTTCGTTTGATGTTTCAGGTAAAGAGACTCTGTAAGTTTTGTTTCTCTACAGCAGTTTTTGAAAAATTCCTATCATTTACAAGAGTCAATTTCAATCATTTAAAGGGGTATTCTGAATTAGGAGGTTTAGAAAAAGCGGTTTTCGTGAATTTTTTTAGGATGGAAAAAAAAATTAATTCTATCGAACTGTTTATCCTGTTTTCATACATATTTGAGTAGTATGTAAAAATTTTTCCAACAAAAAATATTCAAATTGAGTCGACTGTGACGCACATTTGTAGAGCACCTCACAATTAAAACCTCCTATCGGCGGGAAATATGCAGGTCGTAATTTTGGTTTGACACAAAAAAACTGAAAGAAATTTTCATTTTCATACATTTTTCTTCAATGTGAAATAAGAAAATTCATACAAAAAAAAATTTAAACAACTTTTTTATCAAGTTAAAGTGATTTTTTTCACCCAAAGAATTGGTTCTTCCTTTTTAAACTTGCAGTAATTTCACATTTCACCAGTTTTACGGGTTTTTCTTAGTTCACAAAGAAAAAAAATGAATGAAAATGGAAATTTCTTTTGGTTTATTTGTGCCGAATCAAAATTACGACCCGCATATTTCCCGCCGATAGGAGGTTTCAATTGTGAGGTGTTCTACGAATGTGCACCACAGTCGACTTAATTTGAATATTTCTTGTTGGAAAAATTTGTACAGACTACTCAAATATGTATGAAAACAGGATAAACAGTTCGATAGAATTAATTATTTTTTTCATCCTAAAAAAATTCACGAAAATCGCTTTGTTTAGACTTCCTAATTCAGGATACCCCCTTAAAGTCAAGTTCGACAACAATAAAAGTTGCATATTATTTATCAACATATGGACTAAAAGTATCCTCCAAAATTGTCGAATTTTCCGAAAATCCAGGTCGAGGATCTTCCCTTGTTAGATTTAAGTTTCAGGATACCACGGATGTAAAATTTTGTTGCATTTTGATTACTTCTTATAGGTGCATGTCTGATACGCATGTTGCATGGCGCGATAAGCGATACCGCACTTAGGAACGGCTACAAGAAATTGATAACGAGGTGGTGGGTATACATCATTCGCGAAGAATTCCACGCGTTTTATTGATTCTGAATGATATCGTTGAACCGTGCACGGTTTTAGTAATTCGTATTGCAAAGCAGATCGATGTCTTCGACGCTCGAACATTAAATTAAAGTAGTAATCGAGTCGTTTCGAAACCAATTGTCATTAATCTCTCGTTACAGTGTCATTAACCCCTTGTTATAATAAAGTTTGTGAAATCCAATACGAACAGAGATTGTCGCTTAAGGGGGTACATCGCAGTAACGGTTTCGAAATCGACGAATTTTCGAGAATCTGTTTCGAACAAGCGAGTAAATAAATTTTTTGATTGTTACAGTTAATGTTTATATATAAAACGAGAATAATTTAAACGAAGTGGCGGGCTGCAAAAAAATGATCAATTTTCTTATAGAGATCATTTTATTTGACATAATTTAACACACTCAGAAATGCATATTATAATGACTGAATCAAAGTTTGTAATATGCAATTTATAGTTTATAGCAGTCACTAATAAACTCTGTTGTTGAAACGACTTTAAATAAACGTATCTAAAATATATGAATATGAATGTGTGATACCATTGTCGAAATGTGTGATACCAGCAAAATCGTTGATGTGCTGTTGACATTGATTAGATTATACGGTTTATCTGAACTGAGAAACACAAATATATTTAAGAACTAGAAGCTTGTTTGTATTAGATAGACATATACTATATTGCTACACGTTGGGAAAAATTGATATCCCAATAACTATACTAAATATATTAAATATACTAGATATACTGAATTTTTGAATTATCCGAAAAAGAATTTTAGTTTACGGAACATGTATAAAAAATAACATATAAGTTGATATTTAAGACATTCAAAATGGTATTACAAAAATATTTTAAGTAGAGAAAATAAATCCATATTTACTGGACAGATATATAAGGAAATAATTCAGATAAAAACTTGAAATTTTTAGGTCTTGTTCTTATTAATATAAGTAATAACTAGACTGCAGATTTTTATGCATTTAGAGGAAATTTAAATATGCAAGAAACTACAAAATCCAAACAATATGCAAGAATATAAAAAAGATTGATAATAAAGTTCATGTTATAATATTTGCGAAGGAAAATAAATTCCTATTTAGGTTCAATTTTTGTAGACATGTTCGCGAAGATTTTATTTCGCATAAAGATTCGCAGTCTAGTAATAACTCTATCAAATTTCAAATCATTTCACAAATTTTTACAGGAGTTACAAAAAAAAATAACCGATTGAAAAGAATCTATGTATTTTTCACGTAAACTTTTCGAAGGTTTAGGGCATGTGTTAATGTTAAAATTAACAGCTCAAATTTTACAAGAACATTTTTTTATGTATTTTCAAGGTATTTAGGGGGTGCGTAACATAGATTTCAGAAATCATTGAAATAAGGACCACCCTAATGCATATATTCACTGTAACATGTAATAAATTGAGTTGCATATGCTCAGCTATATTTAATCGCATTATTTGTTGCAAAAAAGTTCTTGAAAAGTCGCCACTCGAGTGCAAAGGGTTAAGAGCGTTTCTTTATACGTACCTTCTTCCTACTCGTTCTCGTGTAATTTCTTATTTCTATTATTCTATTATTTCTGTTACGAGTATCGAATGTTACTCATAAGATTACCATCTTTCGCTTCCCATAATCATAAACTAAGCAATAATCGCGGGAACCTTATTTTTCCTTTAGGAAATCGAACGCTACGTATGTTGCCGATTTCATGAACGCCATGGCGGAAGAAACTACCGATCTTCCGTTAACTGCTGGAGTTACTTTGGAAGAAGCGATGAATTCTTGGATCTCCCAAGGTGGATATCCCGTTATCACGGTCATTAGAAATTATGAGAAAGGAACTGCCACTATTTATCAGGTAACAATAATAGAAATTATATTTAAAATCGACTGCGTGAAAAGTTTAACATATGCAGGATGATCCACGCAATTGTTTCAAGTCATAACTCCGTTATTATTGCATTTACGAAAAAATACCAAAGGAAAAAGATAAATGGTTCGAAGAGCACTACATCAGTAGGCCTTTAAATTTTTTTTAGGTGCAGCAGTGTATATGCAATTAACAATTGCATCATTTCTTGAAATAGAAATGCATATTTCTTTTAACACAGATCAATTCTTCTGTTCATTCTACGTAAAAAATAATTAGAGTACCGTGGCAAAAAAATTATTAGATCTCGAGATATTTTCAAAAAAATGTCTTTATTGAACAAGACGCTTAAACGCTTCATGACTAGTAAGGTAATCACGCTTGTAAAGGTAATCACCCTTTCGACATTGTTATCATAACAAAAACTAATTTGTACGAGTAACTATTTCATCATTCAGTAGGAATTCACGTATCGTAACTCGAGTACGAAAACTAAGAATTTGAAAAAGTGTAACTGTATTTCACTAAATACAAGAAAATGTATTTTACTAACAGTGAGAAACAAGATATGTACGACACTTTTGTGTTGTGTGATGCAGATAATTTAAACGCAGTTATACAAACAATAAAAAAACGTTATCAGAGATGTTTAGAATGTAGTGGAGAAGCGTTGGAGCACCTTCTTTAATAAAGAGATTTTTTTGAATATATCTCAAGAAATAATAATTTTTTTGCCATGATACCCTAATCATTTTTTACGTAGAATGAACGGATGAATCAATAAACAAAAATATGCATTTCTATTTAAAGAAATGATGCAATTGTTAATTACACATGCACTGCTGCATTTAAAAAAAATGTTAAGGCCTGTAGATGTTGTGCTCGTCGAACTATTTATCTTTCTCCTATGACATTTTGTCGTAAATGCAATAATAACGGAGTTATGACTTGAAACAATTGCGTGGACCACCCTGGATATATTTTTGTAAATATGAAGTTTCGAGTCGCATCAACTATTTGTATATATTCTGAACTCTTTTTACATTAACTTTTAATTTAATAAATGAAGTATTATTATTGGAATTTAGCGGACCTTACAGTTTCCTTTCTCTTCTTCCAATAAATTATTTTTTCTAATTTAGACTCTTTTATCGGTTCTCCTGTACACCGAGGTAGATTTTGATTAAATAGTCTCTAAAAATAAAAATTCTACGGATACATGTTCAAAAACAATTATTATTCATCTCGTATTTAGACTTGAGGTGTGAAAAATCCAGTTTTTTTCCTAATTGGGGTTTTTTTCCCAAGTTTAGAGTCGCATCAACTACAAGTGGTTATTAGTGACTTAGCTTCGGTAAACGTTAAATCTTGTTAAATAAATTGATGAAACGCACCAATAACATGTTATCATATTTTGTTAGAAGCAAAAAGTAAATTCTGCATGAACTGCATATAAAGATTATCAAATCAGACTACGCTTAAAAATATTCGCATTGTAATAGAATAAACTGTATGTATTAAAGTATTTAGTTATGCAGGGTAAAAAGATTTAGAGATTGAAAGAGGTAGTTGGCCATTCTTAATCTACACACGATGACTAACCGATCCTTAATCGCATTACATTTTTAAGATTTCAGACGTAGATCACGCACTCGATACTCAAAATACAACGTGCATCTTTATCAGTAGGTACATATTTTATAAAGAGAACCTCAGAAAATACCATTTGCTCGTATTAAAAGAAAAAGGCATGGTTAATGTTCTTGTCATGTTATCGGGCAGGATCGTAAGAAAGTTATTTCGTGACATTCCGATAGATTGTAAAAACAATTCGGATAAAATTCTTCGTTTATATCGTTTCTCATTTATTATAATCGTAATCGCAAATTTTTCTGCGATTACGATCGTATTTTCAGGTGTTTTCAGACATAGAAGATTTGTATCTAAAAGCTGACTTCAGATTCGTGTTCTTCACGCTCAAAAAACCTAGAAAACCATGACGTTTTTTGGTGTGAGGAACACGAATCTGAAGTCGATTTTCAGCTTCAATACTTTTATGTCTGAAAACACCTGAAAATACGATCGTAATCGCAGAAAAATTTGTGAATACGACTGTAATCGCAATGAAATTTGTGATTACGATTGTAATCGTAATCGTAATCGCAACTCTGAAACATTTGATTACAATCATAATAGTAATTATGATTACGATTATGCTCAACACTGGCATAATCGTAATTAAATTTTAATTATTTGCATTTCGTCTAACAGTTCTTTAAATCGATTATTTTAGGAACAATTTTCATTGGATAGACCATTGGAAAATATCTCCAGGTTCTGGTACATTCCACTCAGCTATATTGACGAGAATGGCAATTGGTCGTCTCCTACGATAACGTGGTTTCAATCCGAGCCAAAATTCGCTATCGATAATGTTGCCTCAAACGAATCTTGGGTTCTGTTCAATATAAACAAGACTGGTACGTGACAAATTTTAATATTTTAATATTTTCAAATTTTAATATATCGTTTTCGTAATTCTTCTCTCCAGCATCGAAATTATGCTTGGTAAACATACATTTTTATATTATCACTGAATCTTCACAGTTAAGTTCTTAATATTGGGTTGTCTGAAAAATCCATGTCGATTTTTGGTAGGTGGTACAGGTCTGAATATATCGGAAAGCTTGAAAATAATTTACATGTATGTATCCCTTAAAAGGTGGAAAGGTTGTGGAACAAGATGGTACCTATGGAATTCAATAAATATTAAATATATATCAAAATTTAAATGTGGTATTTCTGGGCAACCCAATAATTTCTTAATATGTTCTTAATGAAGATTTTGATTTTTTCTTAAAATTTCATTTGACTAAATCGTACTACACAGAATGAGTTTTACTAGTAATAGTAGTAGTAATAATCTCTTTATTTCATTATCATACAATACACTTAATAATATTAACCTTATTCTAGTTGGAAATTTGTATCCTAAATTCTCCTCGTTTATTAATTACTTATCATTCGGAATTCTTATTCCTACCACACAGTCTTCGTCAACAACCCTTAAATTTGTAATCCGATGTCATTAGCTCAAAATTATATTCTTTTCTTTATTCCTTCCATCCTCTTTGGTTTATTTTCTTGTCCCTAGAATCATTTTCATCCACCTAACTCCGATATCTTTTTCGTCTAAAGTTGTCTCTACATCCATTTCTGTGTTTCCTACCCCTTCACATTCTTTTATTAAATGTAGAATTCTTTCGCCATCCTCTTTGCATATTCTGCACATCCTTTCTTCGTCTTTCAACCATTATTTATTATAGTTCTCTTCGTTCCCATATCTGAATTCCAAATTTGTTTATTTTTAATCTATCTATCTTTGATCCCTTTTTGCTGTTTAAATATTTAGGTACTTCAGGTGCCAATAAAAACTTGTAGTGTCTGTTATATTTTGAGTTCGTAGCTTTGTTATGATCAATTTGCTGCTTTACTTATTTATCTCTATTGCATATTGTTTCCATTATTTCTGTTCTTCCTTCTCTGAATGAGTTTTACTCTAATTCTTATATCTTATTATATCTCTCATTCGTCTCATTCGTCTCATTTACTTTGTTTACATTCGACTTGTTATTGTTCACAGAATTTTATTTATTTTATTTATTCGAAGTCGTAGACGGCGTACATTCGTATAATAATCTAACATCATTTCCCTATCGACGTTTTCCAAGGTTACTATCGCGTACATTACGACGAAAGAAATTGGATGCTGCTGAATATCGCGCTGCAAGAGAATCACGACCTGTTCCCACCGGAAACAAGAGCATCGCTTATTGACGACGTATTTAGCCTCGCTGCGATAGGTTTAATAAAATACGAGATCGTTTTCGATTTCATTAAATATATGCAAATGAAGGAAAGGCACTATGTGCCTTGGATGGCGCTGATGCGACACGTGTTTAAATTGAATAGGCTCTTGTACGAAACTCCGATCTTCACTGATTTTCAGGTGAGTCGTGGGAACTGTAAAACGTTACTGGAAAATAAAATTTTAAACGTCTTCGAGTCATAGTCGATTTCTGGTAGTTAATCTTCGATTCAGGTACCGTTTACGTAATTCATGAAATCAAAAAAGCAGTTCAGTTATAAATACAGGGTGTCCAAAAAGTCGGGGAGGAGCCGGAAATGGGGGGTAG